ACTAACAGTGCAAGATGTTATTTGAAAATAAAAATATGAATATTTTAATATAATTTTGTAAAAAAAACAAAAAATAAATCATATTCAAGAGTTGAAAAAGGGGGAGGGAATATTAGGGAAACCTAGGTCACATATAGCTGATTGTTTATTATTGACCAAACAATCCATTTAATGAAGTTAATAAATGTTACTTAAATTTTTTTCAGAAAGTGGAAACATAATATATTACATGTATTAAGAATTATTTTGTTTAATTCCAAAAGAGAAAGAGGAGATAACTGTTTTCTTTTGGTCCACACAAAATATATATAGTAGAAGAGAAATAAGTAGTACATTTGGTAATCAAATAATGATAAAAATAAAATAACTTTTAATCTGAAAATCACTTAGTCAAGGTAATAAATAGTCTCTTAAGTAACCACTCTTAATGAATAAGTTGCTTTTTATAAGCACTGATATTTAAAGTGCATTATAATTCTTAACTGTTCCTATTATTCTGCCACTGACATAATTAATAAGGGGTATAAGGCCAGGTACAGTACTCACAAAGCATGTTTACACCCCTTAACAAGTCTGTTATTGGATTAAGGTAGATCATAGGTATATATTTCCTCAGATAGAATTTTTTTATACTTTGCCAAAATAAAGATTTTTCTATGCTTTTTCCAAAAATATAATAAAAAGTATGGGTCACCGTGCTATTTTTCAAGCTACGGGTCGTACGAAATTGCACAAATTTGCTTAGATTGTTCATGAAAAAACACATTTTTGTGCATAAAAAGAAATCTATGAGATAGAATTTTGAAATAAAATATGAAAAGATAGGTTTTATAATATGCTTTAAGAAAATAAAAAGAAAAAATGGTGTCACCGAATTTGTTTTCCTGCTACAAGTAAAAAATTCAAATTTTTCTATCAGTCCAGTATAATTTTTTTACTAAAAGAGTTATCTCCCCTTAAATGGCCAAGTTGAAAAAATAATTCTAAAAACACAATTATTTGGTATTTATTTAAACATTTTGAATAATGCAATAAATCACCAAGTTTTCTTTCATTGAATTCCAAACTTGCAGATTTGGGCAAAGATCTAGACCGATTGTGTACTCCGATTGTACAATCCAAGATGGCGGTATACCATGAATCTACCTTAAAATAGAGTCATTTGATTGCAGTTACTGCTCAAATTACAAATATAAGTTGGTACAACTTTTTGAAATTTCAACAAGACTTGCAGTAAAATATTAGAATTTAATTTTTGCATTCATATCTTGTACACTGTATATTCATGTGTACCTTTGTATTCCAACTTTTGACAGATCTGATAGCATTCCATAGCAGTTATTAGCAGTTTAGAAAGCCATATTAGGATGTACAACTTAGCAGTATCTATGAATATTCATTATTGATAGCTGTTATTATAGCAGTTCTCATGAATATTCAGAGAAGATAGCAGTTTTTGAGTATCTCATTTAAATTTTTCGTCAAAAATAACTGCTAAATAACTGTGAAGGCTAAATAAACTGCTAAGAAACTGCTATGGAATGCTATTGAAATGCCTATATGCAAATTAACTATTGCCTTGAATTTGGCAACTGTGAATGCTAATGAACTGCTAAAGAACAGCTGTTGAGTAAGAACTGTGAATGCTAATAAACTGCTAAAGAACTGCTGTCCACTTTGACCTGGGAATTGATTTATTTTTCAAATTTTGGAAACCTTATTAATTTTCATGAAACATTCTCAAATACATGTGTCTTACTGATATACCACAAGCTGTACTGGTAATTTTTAACATTTGACATATTTTTCATTTTATCAGTTTTATGCGTAAAACAGATTATAACGACATTCAACTTTAACATGTTAAAGATAAAATTTGCGTTGCAGTAATCTGGGAGAACGATTTACAACTTTCGTATGTTCAAAATTACCTTTATATCTTATATAGGTAAACTATTGTAAATAAAATTAATAATCAAGTATTTTGAAACACACAAGGTTATTGTCATATATGTGTATAGTTGCATGTTTATTTGAAATTTAATTGTGTGGTAGCCTTTTTTCTTCGCCCTATAGGTGTTTTTTTACTGTATGTCGGTCATACGAGTGTCCATAAGGGAGAAATACAAACTTTATTACATCTTATTATTGCTGCTTTTTGTGAAATTTTTCTTATATTTCATTTTAAGAATTGAATGCTTCTTTTTGTAATCTTATTAGGGTGTGAATGTGGTGACTGAAGCACATTTTGAATGAAGCGGTGAAGCGCTTCATATTAAAAATGTGCGCACGATCAACGCTTTTACAACCCTATAAAATTATAAAAAGAAGCATTCAAATCTTATAATTACATTTTTATGCTACAACAATGAAATTATATCGTTTTTCGTTTGTTTTTCAATGCACTATTTTAACATTGTCACGGATAGCACGTGCAGTCATAGCTGTTGTATTTTATACGGTAATAAAATATGGTCTTGAAATGACTCTCGATTGTTGTCAGACAATAAAAAGTACGAATTCTAATGTAACATACATGTAATGTAATTATATATGATCAACTCTTATCATAGATGTTATATTACATCTATGCTCTTAGCAATGAGAGTATTATGAAATTATTCTATATGAATTGTGTGCTTTGTTTAGACTTTTCTTTCATATTCATCGATTCTGGGCGATCCCAAGATTTCATTCGATTTCATATATTTACATCAAGATGTCGTTAAATGAAATTGTATATCCTGCATTTATCATGCTTTTCAATAACATATGATCAAATCGCTGAAAGACCCCCTCCTATAAATTATTGAAAACTATCATTCTGCATTGACAACACTATCTTGATGTAATTTAGATACAACCATTCAGGCTAACGCCCTCAAGGTGTATCTAATACATAGATATAAGAAGATGTGGTATGAGTGCCAATGAGACAACTCTCCATCCAAGTCAAAATTTATAAAAGTAAACCATTATATATATATATCTTTTATACATGTATATAAAGGGCCTAGAAAATCAACCTAACAATGTTAGAGTAGATCTGATTCTTTACTTACTCCCCGACCGGGTCTGGAACCTGTACTTTTCACTTCTCACTTCTACGACAACACCGCCTAGCATTGGACAGACGCCTTTCCCCTCCTCTAATTATAGCTGATAAAATATCAGCTTTTATATATATATATAATTTTAACACACTTAACTTTATGAATGTACAATTTTATTTACAGAAGTAAATAAAAGTGTCATCTTTCGTTCAATCACAGACCGTGACTCCAAACAACAAAAATGAAAATCGTCAAAAACTTGACTTAATTTTGTCAATGTAACAACATATCAAAAATTTGATAAAGGATAAACAAAATCTGTTTGCTGTACATACCTATTTTAATAACTTGAACCTTCCTTTGGAAAACCGGGTTAGAATAAGTGAGTGGTTGCTGTTTGCTCAACCTCCAGTGGCAAATATTTCATGCATATTCATGACCTGAGAAAAATAACAATTAATACAAAGGGTAGGCCCTGTAATAGGCGGTCGACCGAGATGAAGGGCGAGCATTTTGAATGCCACTGGAAATAAGGATATATTGAATAGAACAGAAATTTGGCCTTGTGACAAGACACCTCAAAAGGTCTTGTAAGGATTCGTAACGTGCAGAGAGTGACGCATTTTCTCTACACGAAACATCGGATTAAACGCCCTCAGTATGACCGGGCGTGACTGCAAGGTCATGCGTCCCGCACATCAAAAATAATTTGATTTGACAAGCGTTTTACTGCCAATTGGAAGAATACCAAGGGATGACCATATTTCTATACAACAGTCAAACATAAAAAAAAAAGAGACGCATCTTTTTTTTTTAAGAGACAGACTTAAAACAAGAGCTTCTCAATTTTAAATAAAAAATGAAAATAACTGGGATTTATCTTAACTTTACTTCTAATTTGCGACATAGATGAAACAATCAGCGTTCGTCGACTTAGGTTATTTAAATATATATGAATGAACCTAAAATAACGATACCACAGGTACAGTTTAGTCTGCATTACATTCTGAAATTGAAAACGAGGGTTGGCAGACATCTAAAACTTTACGAAAAAGCGATGATTTCAATTTTCTCAGTGTGAACCTTCCATTTCTGTGAAGCGACATTTCAGCTGCGTCTTCACATTAAAGATATATATATATATACGATACGATACGATATTATAGGGCTTCCTATCCAATTGTCTTGATAGAGGGTTGCTGCTTGCAAGGACACTGCTTTACCAAGGGTTTCAAATGGTAAAATTGAATGCATCCCGTTGAAAGTTTATCGGACCCTGTGCCTTGTTTTATTGGGTTTGTGTTCTTAACAAACTTTATAACATAGCTGTCAGTAGTATATTAAAGTGAGATCTTTGTTAGCTTTTCGTAAGGAAACATGATAGATTAATGTAGGATTTTTGAATTTTGAATTTTGAATTTTGAAATATGAATGATCCGTCTCGGCTTTCGTACAATCCTGCGTTTGTACGAGGCACGTTTAACAAAAAGCAATTATATTAATTGTATGCGACTTGGAAGGAAACAGCAACTCACTCAAACAGAAAACCAAACATCTTTTCATTTGGGTTATTGTTTTGTTTGCGTGTTGTCTAAGGGAGCTACCATTTGATTTTTATGGGGGGCTAGGATGAAATTTGAAAAAAATAGGCAGGACAGGAGTTTTGAGTAAAAAAAAAAGCAGGATGAGCAACTCTACAAAAACAAAAGGCAGAATGGAAATTTATGTAAAAAAAAGTCAGGATAAACTAATAAAAAAAAGGCAGGACCGAATAAAGTGAAAAATAAAAAGACAGGACAGAGATTACAACTAAAAAAAAAGGCAGGACAACATTTTTCATCCTATATATTCCTTTATTATATCTTCTGGTGTTATCATTCAATAAGATAGATTGAATGTTATAGAACAATGTTCATGACGTGTTAAGATGAATTATGTTTTTTTCAGGAACAAGTTCAGCAGAATTAAGAATACCTGGTTTAGAAAATTCATACGAGAAAGCCGAACTGATTTATGAAAGAAAGGATGATATTAACACAGACAAAATATCTATCAAAAGGGCAACAGATGGAAGTTTGTTACTATTTTTGGCAATAAAAAACAGCTTATTTCAAAGTGACAAATCGATGGAAACTGAATTGAAAAGTTTTATTGACCAACTGTTTAACATTGCGGATTTGAGATGCACTTTATATAGCCAGTGCAATGTAGCTCTAGACATGGAGAACGAAAATGGTAAGTTCCGGCATATTTACTACCGTTTATAACATATCAAAATATTTCAAAATCAGTTATTTTCAATATCACATTTTAGAATGGGAAATTCAACAAGGTATATGAGAAAATATAATAAGGGTAGTACATTTGCTTAATTATCCAGATTTACCTTCATCACAGTGTTTATGTTCACAATTTGTGTATATTCAATAGTATTCAACAAAATACGACAAGGGTTGAACATTAAGAGAAAACAAATCAAAATTACCGTGGCCATTTTATTTTGGAATGGTTTAAGTAACAACTATACACAATTTAATATAATGCATTAACTAGTATTATGTATGTCATTACTCAGTCATCAGCCTCTTTAAAGGTGTAGACAGTTCTGAATAAACTCATCATATATACCAGGATTGAAATTTTGTACGCCAGACGCGCAATTCGTCTACAAAAGACTCATCAGTGACGCTCGAATCAAAAAGTTAAAAAGGACAAATAAAATACGAGTTGAAGAGCATTAATGTTCAATCTGTTATCAAAATAAGATGAAGATAAAATTGTCAATATATTAATTATTTTGACACAATGTCGTAACTTAAGCACTAAAAAAAGTTTGGTTATTCTTAGACGGTGATTGTATGGAGCCATTGGAAGGGCATAATGACCTTGTAATACAGCTTGAAATAAATAATAGTGCCTTTGAAACTGATGAATCCATTTCACAGACATTTGATAATTTCATTTCAAATGTTGTGCAAAATATGAATAGGCAGTCTCTAACACGTAAACCAGAAGTTACAGCTTTACTAGAGTTGAAGAGAAATGGTATTAAAATTTAAAATAACCATTTTTTATTGATTTTAGTTCTGACAGTATTAATTTCTTCTCAAAGGACAAGTATTATTTTTCTAAAGTTAAAATTATTAACTGTATTGCATCTTATGTTTAATGCATATATTACTTTTTTCGCTTCTGAAGTAATGACGTATATCATGAACACAATGCAGAATGTTGTTCTGCGAGAGAATGTTCTGTGCTGGTGATTTCGTCCTGGTCGGTGCTGATGAATCCTGATTTTGTGCTGGTTGGTTTGTTAACATGATATCATAACGGCAATTAAAAATCATTCTGTTGATAACTTATTCATTAATTTGTTTTACGTACCTCTGGAGTTATATTACAGAATTTTTTTTATTTCAAAAGTCTTGCAAATTCGCTGCACATAATTGTCTTAATAATGATGAGAAAAATGTTCTGGTTCTGTGCAACAATATTTTGATAATGTTCTTATCATAATTGAGTATAACGTGGCATACATATAGATTCTACCACTGCATCGAGTGAGATACGATATTTATCCACTCGAGACAGTTAAGTTTTCAAATTTAAAACGCGAGGCTCGCCGAGCATTTTAAATATTTAAAATTTAACTGTCGAGATTTGGTGGTGGAATCTGTTTCTCTAATGATTTTCAAACAATACGCAGGCAAATTTATTCCTTCTTTTCGAATGATCTGCAAAAAGATGTGTTCTTTCTATGTGACGTCATCAGGCATGGTCGCCTTTTTTCATGTCGTCACAATAGGAAATTCAGAGGAAAGCAAGAAAACTCAAATACAATGGGTGCAGAAAGGGATAAATTGACGAAGAATTAGAGAAATGTATATATAAGATCATTGATGCAAAATAATGTAAAGACATTTAGCATACATATGCAGGCTGGAAAACATGCATATAATTGACAGGTGCATGCATGATCACATAAGAACCTGCAAAATACCCTATTCTTAAAATTTTGTGTCAAGTGCTCGTAAAATAAAAATGTATCCAGCTAATACGAACACAATTTGATATTTAAAATCAGTTTGTCTTAAAACAAAAAAGATGATATAACATGTGGCTCTAAGATCAAAATGTGGAATGTTATTTATCTATGTAAATGGTGCGCTTGAAAAGATATGTAATGATCCTATATTGGAACGTTGTGTCCTCGTTTTAGGGAAGGTTATCCAGTTGGATTTACAAAAAGTCTGACCCTTTACAAAATGTAAGGCAATAAGTTAGATGCAGCGTAATTATCCTTGATCTCATTTCTGGCAAAGTGTTAATTTCGTAGAATACTCCAGATCTTTTTCTTTGTATTTAACCAAATGAATTTCGTCGTCTTTATTCCGATATATGTCTTATTAAGCTTAAATAGGATTTCTTTGTAACGACGCATTGAAGCCTACCAAAAGATTAGTCGTGGGAAATTTGAGATGTTGAAAACATATTGAAATACATTCATACAGCATTTATCTTCTGCTGCAGTGGATATCAAAACACATTGTTTAAAGCTCATCTGGACCAAAAGGTCATTTTGGCAATTGTTATCACTTGTCGACCGTTTTCGTCTTTCCTTGTCATGACCTTTTTTTTAAAAGTCTTTCTTCTGAAACTACTGGGCCAAAATTGACTAATAAACAATCAATGCTCATTTGACATTTTATTTGGAAAAAAATTCCAGGGATGTGGATTTGACAAATCATCGAACTTTGCCGCTATTGGTTAAAATAGAACAGATTGAAAAACTGCAGCTTTTGGCTTATAGCTCAGCTCAATTTAGATAGCTCTTTTTTAATTTATCCCCCTGAAATATCCATTATTAGCAAATTTCGCAGCTTTTGGGGATGATCTTAATGACGTTTTTTAGATAAAGAGAAACTTTTAACAGTAAAAATTATCAGCAAATTTAAATCTGCAAATAAGTCAGTACTATGGAATCGTCAGTTGACAACTTTAAAAGTAATGCTCCTTGAATGACAGTTTTTACCCATTTGTATTCTTTGTCTGCCGAAATTATCATTGAAAGGGAAAACAGTAAAAATGAAAAAAATATAAGCAGCAAAATAAGATCTCCAAATAATTCACATGGCCGAAAAGATAATAGGCATATAATTTGGTATTTTTTAAAAAAGCACCGAAAAGGCAACGTTAGCGTGACGTCGTGACTTCATTGTGCATCGGCCCTTAGTTTTCGATGTTTTAACATATACACCTGAATGATTTATACAGGAAAAAACGATTGCGATGACCCAATGAATTTGTATCAATAAAACTAATTGTTTTGTAGAAATATTATTCTTAAAGTGGCATTAGCTACGAGATATAAAAACAAATAAAATATGATTTTTTTTTGTTCAATCATTAATGAAAGTGAAATAGTGAAATAATAATTCGCTTTTAACAGCCAGTTTGGTTCAGTTTTGTCAAATTAAGCAAAGAAACATCGATAATGAATTATTCACTTGCAAGTGAATAGTTCGACCTCATTCAATCCGTATTCATGTGAACTGTTATTGATCCCTATAGCTAGAGATGGGTTACGCATGAACTAGGCGTGTTTAGTTAATAAATGGAAAAGAATGTAAACATTGAAAGTGAAACAAGGGTAAACCATTTAGATGACTGGTTCGATCTAGAAAAACTCATAACTTATACAGATAAAAATGATTATTAACATATTTTTTTAACCTATAATATGAAATCAAACAGACCTAGAAAAATCAAATTGCGCGAGTTCACAATCTATTTATAACTATGTTTATGTTTATATCGGGTTATATGACCGTCGGCAGTCTTCGGAGGTCACATCAATGGTTAATTAGAAGATGTCTAGACTGAAATACACACGAAATGCTGATATATACTATCGAGTCTATGCATCATAAATTGTTTATTTTAGACTTTTTATAATTTGGATATGCATTTGAATATGTTATAAGTTGAATATAAGAATTTGAGTCAAATCAGTGAACATGAATTTGACAGCTAATGCTTTTTAACAAAATGCAATTCCACATGTTTAAGCTGATTGTTAATGTCCGTGAGATCGCCCATTCACGTCCCATTCACGTCCCTATTGGGGGACGACCATTTGATATTCTGGGGGGGCCAGGAGGATTTTGAAAATAAATAACTCAGCCTTGATAATCACAAAAATAAATGGTTTGTTCTGTGGTAGTTTGAAAATAAATTACCTGACTTGCAATGTATTGAAAATAAATAACTCAGCAGGTCTAATCGAAAGTATGAGATGGCACCAGATTCTTCATAAATTCATTTTTTTTCCAAAAAAAAATCAGGGAAACACTTCCCATATCTTTTAATAATAAAAGTATAAATATTATTTAAATGTACTTGAAATGTCAGAAAATTGGTTTCATTTAACTTAAGGTTAATTGTCTCAGGAACACTTACCTCACTTTTATTAAATCAGGGCCGTAACTACATTGAGACAAATGCCTCATGTAGGAAATTTCAAAACCAAACGCTTGTCTCTATATCAAATTGTGTTCACCGTGAGTGCCTTGCAAGAAGCAAGTTCTGTTCTCCCTCAGACGTAGCCCCTGATTTTTCGGGATCAATGTTTCTTATTTATTTGTCTTTTGTTCATTGATTGCCCTTCTGTATTCTGTTAGTGTTGCATTCATTTTGTAATTTAGTAATTTTATTATTAACTTGATCTTGAGTTTAAAAAAACACAGCAGCCACAGACTTAACTATGTGAATTACATTTTTGCTTTATCATGCATATTTGTCTTTTGATGTTGTTCCTAGAAACTTAAGTCTTACACTGAATCTATAACCTGATTTTGCTTTGAGACCAAAATATTGTTATAAAATTATTAAAACAGAACTTGCATTTTCAGTTTAAGAAAGGGTCTGGGGAACACCCAGAAGGCATGATTTTGCATCATTTGTTCTATAGCTTCTTTGGGCCTTCAGCGGTTCAAAAACCCTTCAAAAAAAATTTTGCCTTGCTCCGCTCGGCGAAACATGTTTGCCAATACTTTTAAAAGAGCCTTAGTTACAACCAAACTTTAATACTGTGTATGTATGCAATACATGTATATGCATTGGGGAATATAGAAGATTCATTTCTGCAGACGATAATAATTAATTCTGATTAAATGATAATGTAATGACTTGACTATACATGAATTATTTATAATAAACAAATAATTTAAAAATTGTATGCTTTCGAATATTATAAATATAGTTGTGAAAATAAATAATCAGTCCCTTGCTTTAATGAAAATGAAAAATCTTGCTTCAATAGTGCAGAAAATAGATAATCTGTCCTCTTGTTTTAAAAAAATAAATAACCGATCCAAAACGAATCCTCCTGGCCCCCCAGAATATCAAATGGTCATCCCCTTACCTTCAACTTTGATATCTTTATAAATATGACTTAAGAATCATGGTGTTGATGAAAATACCCATTTAATAGCTTTAGCAAAATTAGTCTTACTAAAAATGTTTTCATCTCATTTTCAATTAAAGATGTTTCTTTTTTCACCAATATGTAGTGATAATAATTTAAAAGATAGATGTCCAACTTTAAAATATGTGTCACAAATCCGTTTAAAGGCGTTATTTGCCTACTCCTATTGGATCCAAATAATAAATGTCTTGTAAAAAATTACCAGCATGTATCAGAATCCACCAGCATAGAATCAGAACATGCCTACTTTATAAAAATTGCACACTTATAAGAAATTGCAACAGGACTTTTTATAGGAGGATTATGTCGTGTAACTTTGTCAATAAAGCAGATTCTAGGAGCTTTTTTTAGATGTTTTAAGACGTCTTACTCATTCAGAAGCGGCCTAAAAGATCTTCTTCAGTTGCTGGTCTTTGACCCCCCCCCCCCCCCCCTTTTCCAAAGCAAAATATCTCAAATATTTTTTTGCATTTGTTATGTTAGGAAATGTCAAAAAATCATCATGTTCGTCTTTGCTTGCATGTTTTCACCGATCAGTCCAAATCACCAGCACAGAACAGAACCTTCTCTCACAAGCCAAGCTTACCCTCCGTGATAAATGTCGTTTGAGTATATATATATTTTTTTATTGCCCATATAATTAAAGTCTATGAAAGAACATTTAAATCGCTATGCAAAGAAGACATGAACTTATTTGTAACTATTCAGTTATTATTCAGATATTCTAGAAGAAAAAAACGAGGCAAGGTAAGATTTGCATGATCTGAATTCATTTTCATTAGAATATGTAAGAAGTCTTACATTGATTTTGTTAAATACTTGAGAGGACAATGTGAATCTAAATACGATATATAAATGTTTTTTTGTATTTATCTCAAGATCATTCAGAACAGAAAATGGATGGGCAAGCTCAAGTGGCAATGTCTGAAGGCAATCCAGGTAAACCAGGTATGCAAATGATATATTATATCGACAACTTCAAGTTCAAATGAGGAAAAAGTAAACAAATTTGATTCGATCAATAAACTGAGCTTTTATTTATTTATGATCAGAAAAATATCCACAGATCACGTTATGTTTTAGTAGTTAGTTCAGAATTATCTAAAGCTCTGTCACACATTCAGGATTTTTACTGCAGTTCTTGATAGGACAATTTTCGATTTAAACATGTTAAATTTATCAACATTGGGATCTGGATCCAGTGATTCGTGGCTGGTAATTGACCAAAACATTTATTAAATAACGACAACAATCAGATATTGTTCAGGAAGCGTCCCGATTATCCTATTCCAAATTCGATTCTGATCCGATTTTATCTTTCGCATGCTAAAAATAATTGACCGAGTATGTCCGTCAGCTCAGATATTCTCCCGAATGCTATCCGACAGTGATCAGATAGTGATCAGACAGCAAACGGATGCAGGACAAAATTACGATTTTGATCCGATACAGCAGAATCTGTCACCATAGTGACCATTATAATCCGACTAGACAAAATCGGTCGAGCTTTCCGAATGTTTACTGGACGCACCGTTCTGTTGGGAGTGATTTGTCAATCTGTCCAGAACATTCCCGATCCATAAAACCTTGTTACGAACGTATATGACTGCGTTTAGACGATATATGACATTCCAGATCATTGGGATAGTAATCCGACTTTTTCACTTTTGCTGCCGTGCACCTGTTTGCTCCCAAACGGGACCATAGTCAGCTATTTGTACCATGTACAGGTTTAATAAAACAAAACCACAGGAAATTGATTGTTGAGCTTTTATTTTATGAACAATAGATTGAAAATGAGATGGCTTACAAAGGCTTTGCCTGTTGCCTATTGCCCAATCCACTTCAATTTATTTGAATAAAATATTGTTTAAACTAGAAAATACCAAGAGATCAATCAAAATAAGAACAAAAAACTCAAATCTGTTCGTAAATATTTACATACAGTTTTTGGCTCAATACAAAACAAATATGAATGTGATTATATTACAGCGTCTATTTCATTATAGAATACCAATACAAAGCAACTCCTTCGATGGACATCATGACAGAACGTAGTGCACGATCCAGATTTGACATAGGAGGACATCCCAAAATGACGGGCACGAGTAAAACAAGTCATTTCAGTAATAGTTGTCTTGCGTTTGTTGCAGTCATATGCGTGATTGCAGCTGTTTGTACTAAATATGCGTTTGACAGAGCCTCCAACGATCCGGACAAAATAGTTGTGACCCCTTTGAATATTCCAAAAATTAATTTAGAAAATTCATCGAATGTAAATTTGGATTCCGATTTGTTCTGGGGAACATATCGCTCAAATTTATATTTCGGAATGAAAACGAGATCACCAAAATCTCCTGTGGTTGGACTGATGTGGTTTGAACAATACATAGATAAATGGAAAAATCCTGTTATTAAGATTAGACACTGGTGTGACCAAGGAGACTACCTTAAGAAATATGGATGGTTGAAACATGATGGAAAAAACTTCGGTGTACAAGAAATTGTTGAGAACAATTTCAAGTTCAACACCTCTTTTGTGAAGCGACCAGGAGGAATCAATGGTGGAGATTGGTCATCGAGAATAACAGCAATACCAATTGTAAGTATTTCATGAAGTATTTTTAATGTAAAATAAGCAGATTGCCTTAATAATAAATGAAATTAGACACATTCGTGGTGCAATTTAACGAATATATGAAATAAGGGTCAGGAATTACTTTTGCAGCTAAAAACAGACTTTGATAGTTGTTCCTTGACACCACTTGTCTACATAAATCCTAAAATGAAATGCTGATTAAGACATTCCTATCAGAATTTGTGTTTTCAGGTCTGTCAAGTTTGGACAATGAAGTGGGTTTTGATTTGATGATAAAAAAAATTATTCTTCTGAGTCGATTAAATCTATGAATGGTTAAATGATTCTACTATGGCTTTATTTTAATATGATTTCAGTCGGTTGATTTAATGAGTTAGAATTAAATAATTTTCTTCTAAATTGTCTGTCCATAGATGTCTTTTTACATGTATGTGTGTTGTGCTTTTATGCACCTTGGTTGTTAATTCATTTGGCACGAATAAGGGACATAAATTCCTCATCTTATTCTTATCTTTTATACTTTTTGAAAACACTGGGTCGATGACAGACATTTCGTTCCCGATTATATCACAAGCCTAGTACTCAGCACTGTTGAAACAAAATATCATTTTTTTTACTGTTTATAAAATGTTGAAATGTGCAAGACACTACGGTTTCCAACTGCTATGCATATAAAGTCAAAACCGTATTTTGCACAATTTTTCAGAAATTTTGGTTTCCAGTGCTCTTCGTTTAAAATTCGGCATCTTTTTTTTTTATAGATCAACAACTCTGATGAGTTTTAGGAAGGCATAACTCGAATTTTATGTACCAAAATATAAGCTGGTATCTTTGGTACATTTTATTTATATGCATGACTTGACGTTTTATAGCTTAGAATCTTTTTTTTATGTAGATCTCAATTCCAACTGACGCCGTTATGCAACAGTACAAATGAAAAATACAAATAAACCGGTTCTCACTTACTGAGTTCTCACATACCCAGTTCTTACATACTGTTTCGTGAATCATTTCTATTTTTAACCGATTAAAATAATATGGTTTACCCTACTAAATCTACAAGTCGATAAACCATAGCATATGAAATACATCTTTGCATGGAGTTGGTGAGCGATACAACCTCCTTGGAGAGTGTAGTATCCTCTATGCATTGGTGTGGTTCACAGTTTCCATTGATTTTGCAAATAAAGAGAATTTAACAAGGGGACAATCAAATCCCATAAGTGGTAGAAACATAGACACCAACATGGCCGCAGTTGACAATGTTTATAAAAAAGAGTCATTATAAACCTGTAAATTTAAATACTGCAATGTCAATAGCCGTCCGTCCGTTTGTCTGTCTGAATTTTTCTTCACGTTTTACTCAAAATCTAAACTGAAGAACAATCAGATAACTTTATCTACATTTTATAATGTTCGTATTTGATAATATTACCTATTGACCATGGTATTTTCCATTAATGTCTTATAACGAGCTCGGGATAGACTTTAATGAATTATCCAGTTTGAATTACACTTATAAAAAGCGTAATCCTGAAAAATTCTTCACAAATTAGATTCGATCATACATGAAGGATGGCATGATGACAATCAGTCAGTTACACAATAATTCAGTTATTGCAATACATTGCACACTGAATATATGTTTAATATGCTTTTAGTTTTACCAAAACACAGAATGGTAACCATTGTAACAGTCTATGAAATTAGAGGAACTGAAGTGTGTCCTTGTTTTTCTATAATTTTATAGGATATAACTTTAGTTTTCGTCATACTGGCAAATGCAGTTAAAATGATATCCAGATAATTCAAGCTCTTAAGTTTAATACTAAAAGCAAGCACGAACAGGACATATTATTATGAAAGACAAAAACTTTCTGATCGAAATCACAGATAGCAGTGAAAACTGATCTTTCGTTCCATATTGCATTTTGGTGTAAGTACGACTGGAATTAATTGATTACCAAGTATTCAATTACTTTATTTAAATACCAGAACCAGATAAATTAAAAGCTCAACCAATCCAAAAATTTCCAACAACGGTCAAAATTCGTAATTTTGTTTTGTCGAAATCTGAATAAAGTATTGAATGTTTAACAGTATCCAATATTTAATTTTACAATATAATTATAAAAAGGGTAATGATCTCTACATTATATTGCCCCTTTGGTATCTTTCCTCCATTTTGAATCTACCAAAATTCATAAATAGCTCTAAGATTTCAATCTTAATGGGAATTATGTTGCTACTTAAGTTTTTATTGCAGGTGGACAACGTTTAGATAGAGAAAAACAATTTTGCAGATAAGAGAAAAAATGGGGTTTTTTCATTAAAAATAACACAAAATATGTTTTATAGAAATAAGGATGCATTTTAATAGAAAACAATACAAGCACGTTGGTAATGCATGGATGCGTTCAATATTTTTATTTAATATTAAATGAGAATTGTCAATTTATTGTGTAGGTTCTTAGTCTAAAAACATCGTTGAGTTTGGTTTTGATCGAAGCGTTCCGGAGACTCCATATGAGAGTTATTTCCCCTTATGCATTTGATTTAAGTGATATGCATTTGCAACTAGTAAACCATAAGTGATAGAGACCTAGGGTCTTTGGATTTGAGGTCCTTGGTTCAAAAAAAGAAAATAAGGTCAAGGTCAAAGGTCAAGGTCATATTCTAAATTTTGATTTTGGCTTATTTTCACTTCTATTCAAAAACCGTATAAGATATTGACAACATTTTTTTTATTAAATTGTTAGTTGCGACATGTCGTAACACATACATTTTGGTTGAAAGGGTACGTTGACATTTAATGAAAGTTTTCTCCCCTCTTATATTCAATATTACGCGTATAATGATTTAACTCATTAACCATATATAATAAAGACCTAGGGTCTTTAGATTTGAGGTCCTTGGTTTATGACCTTGACATTTAGGTCAAGCTCATAGCTAAATGTGATGTTCTAGATTTTGCTTTAACTTCTTATGTATACATGATAACTCCATAAGACTTTGTGCTTTAGGTTGTAAGCCATATGACCTTGAAAAAGCCAACCAAAAGTGACCTTGTATAATCCGAAAGAAGCTATTTTCTTGTACTTATTTAATGTAAAAGTATACAGAACCATATATTTTAGGAATCAATGTCAAGTTAACTATCAAATAGTACTGGAAGTGACATTTTTCAAACCAGAAGTAACAAATTATCTCCCATATTTCAAACAAAAGTGTATAGAAACCATATAATTTTGGAATTAGCTTACAATAAGCTATCATTTGACACTGAAAATGACATTTTAAACCAGATATTAAGATTTTCATATAAAAATATATCGTTTCGGGTGGCAAGACCTTCAATTGTTCTCTGAACAATTGTTTTTTAATTTATTCGGGATGTGTTCTCGATCAATTTATGTTTTGTTAAAATCCAAGCACTATGTATTTTAATGGGCATTTTCGTAAATGGTGGGCAACAAATAGTTTTGGCACAGAGAAGTATTTCTTGATACGTAATGTTACTTTTTCTATTTGAATCATAGCAAAAAATATGATTCTCAAATTTATCTTTATTTAAACTAAGTTTTTAACACAATTTTGTCCTGAGGAAACAATTTGGAATTCATGTTATGCCTATATCATTTATCAAGAAGTTTTTGCAATTTTTTTTTTTTTTTTTTATTTTTTAGTTTATCAATCACTTTGAAATAACTTTATACGCCTCTATATTAGTGTTTTAACAAAAAAGGAAGTTTTTTCAAACGTAAATGAGCCGAATTTCACCAAAATATTATTTGCACATCTACATATTTTCCACATCGACTGTGAAAAATGAAATGGGCCTCCTACGTATTTTTAACTCATCTGGCCTTTGGCCAAGTGAGCTTTTCTCATCGCTTGGCGTCTGTTGTCCGTCGTCCGTCGTCATCGTCGTTCGTTGTCGTTAACTTTTACAAAAATCTTCTCCTCTGAAACAACTGGACCAAATTTAACCATACTTAGCCACAATCATCATTAGGGTATCTAGTTTAAAAAATGTGTTCGATGACCCAGCCCGCAAACCAAGATGGCTGCAATGGCTAAAAATAGAAAATAGGGGTAAAATGTAAATTTTTGACTTATATCTCTGAAACCAAAGCATTTAGAGCAAATCTGCCTGAGGTAAAATTGTTCATCAGGTCATCATCTATCTGCCTTGAAATCAGACAACACGTAGTTGGGTTGGTGCCCATGAATTGGTAATTTTAAGAAAATTTTGCAGTTTTTGGTTATTATTTTAAATATTATTATAGATAGAGATTAACTGTAAACAGCAATAATTTACAGCAAAGTAAGATCTACCAATAAGTCAACATGACCAAAATGGTCAATTGACCCTTAAGGAGTTATTGCCCTTTATAGTCAATTTTAACGATTTTTTGTAATTTTTTGTAATCTTTTACAAAAATCTTCTCCTCTGAAACTACTGAGACAAATTTAACCAAACTTGGCCACAATCATCATAAGGGTATCTAGTTTAACAAATGTGTCCAATGACCCCGCCTTCTAACCAACATGGCGGACATGACTATAAATAGAACATAGTGGTAAAATGCAGAATTTGGCTTATATCTCTGAAACTAAAGCAGTAAGAGCATATCTGACAAGGGATAAAAATGTTCATCAGGTCATGATCTATCTGCCTTGAAATTTTTAGACAAATCAGACAACCCGTAGTTGGGTTGGTGCCCATGAATTGGTAATTTAAAATTTTTTTTGCAGTTTTTGGTTATTATCTTGAATATTATTATAGATATATATATATAGATAAACTGTAAACGGCAATAATGTTCAGCAAAGTAAGATAAACAAATAAGTCAAATGACCAAAATGGTCAATTGATCCCTTAAGGAGTAATTGCCCTTTATAGTAAATTTTTTGTAAATTTTTGTTATCTTTTACAAAAATCTACTCCTCTGAAACTACTGAGAAAAATTTAACCAAACTTGGCCACAATCTTCATTAGG